GAGTAGGGTAACCTGGCACAGTGGGCTGGAAAGAAATATATATATAAAAAACATTTTTTAAACATAGATAGAAGAAAGGTGACAAAGAGCTTTAGGGAAGACACGTAAATTTTCATATAACCCCAAATCATTCAGATCCAGCAATCACGTACAGTATACCATTGCATGAATTCAGGATTGAACATCTCAAATATTGAATCATTTCATTGCTAAGTTATCAAACGGTATTCAAGGTACAACAAATTCGAGAAAAATGATTGCAATGTTGCCATTACGGATTAAGGTTTCATTTAAAACGGCTTTTTTACTGCTTTTTAAAGTAGCTTTCTAATATAAAAATTAAAAATTTTGTAAAAAAAGTAGTTTTAAGAAGCAATAAAAAAGCTGTCACAAACGGGATTACTTCTAAATACATATAAGGACATTTGAGAAAGTTTATTAGTAGCTTTAATTTATACATTTTTGTTTGGCTATAAAATTTTATTGCTTCCAAAAAATATTGTGATGAGGAGCTTGTCACAAACAGAACTGCTAGGGCGTAAAATATGTAAGAACGATTATGTGTAATGTTTTTTTAAAGAACCTATAAAACATCAACAATTTTTAAAATAATATTTTTTCCCACAATTATTTCATAGCGAATTTTACTAATATAGCTGCAGCCATCCTAATGGCTCCTTAGCTTCAAACTAGTTGTTGAACAATCAGTGAAGCTCTCAAACAGCAACAAACACTACAAAAGGATTAGCAAAGTGAAGGCCACTCTCAGAATAAGGCTAATGATAAGTAGAGGCGGACGGAGCCATTCAAACCCAGACAATTCAAAGACTTTTTAAAATTATCAAGGTTAGACTGAGTTGCAATCCAAGGGGTTCACGAAATGTATAAATGGGTTTTACAAATTACTTCGTGGCTTAAGCCTATTTAAGAAACTGATGAGAAATTCAACATACAAATACACTACAGCAACAACTTTTTTTTAAACTTTTATTTCTTTAAATATTACGAATTTACAACCTCCACAAGTTTTCCTTATATCAAATGAAGTTGAAACTAATCCAAAAACCCTTTAATAATTTTTGGTTTCAACTAGTTTCAAGAGTTTCGGCTGGAACAGGAAAGTTTCAGTTGAGTTTCGGGTGAAGCCCAAGAGTTTCACTCAAAATTCATATATTTTTTACGAATTTTCAATAATACTCTTGAGTAGTTGCCAATATTCTATTAGAATTCAATCACTAAGATTCCATTAAACTTCATAACCCAAACTAAAAAATTCATTTTGCTTTAAACTTCTAAAATTTTGTTTTAAAAAATTTAAAATAAAAACAATGATAGAATCCACATGTGAAACTAAGTCTCAAAACCAACAGAAACAACCAATTGATTTTTGTGATTTTAGCCGAAATTTCAACATTTTCAGCAATTTTAGCTTAATTTCATCAATTTTGAACCGAAAAAATTAAAGCTAGTCAACACCAAAAATTTCAAGAGGATGGATTTTGATCAAAGTCAATCAATGGTTTAAGATCACTTTCCACCAAAAACTAAAATCAATGGTCAAAAAAATGTTGGATGATATTTGAATTAACGGTAAGATTTACTGCCAACTTCCAAAATAATTATTTTCCATGGGTTTAGAAAATAAAAATAAGACGAATGATCATAAAAATGTTTGATGTTAGAGCATGACATGATTGCCGCTAGCTCTAGCAATATCTATTTCCTCTAATACCATGTCAATGCAGTTGCTTCTTCCAAACCCATGAAAAATAATTGATTTAATTTTTTAGTAAAAATTTGATTTAAGAAGCAGTGAGAAAGCCATCCCAAATGAAGCCTAAATACATCGACAAATTCTCCTACAGTAAGTTAATTAGATTAGGCTTTTTGCTGCAGCCCTTGATAGACTTTAAAATGATTTTAATAACCCATAATGGGCTAGCCCGATGGGCTGTGGATGACCCAACCCAATTTACACCACTAATGATAACAACGTTAAGTAGCAAAATCTACAAGGTAACAGTTAAAAATCACCTGGTTTAAATGAGAGTCTGTTGTAAAACAGAAGCAGAGTCCTGCATGAACAGATTCAATAAACGTTGAAGACTTAATGACGTTAAAACTTGCTCGAGAATTTACACTTACCTGACCAAACTGAGTCATGGCATGAAAGCCTTGCGCGGTGGCAAGTCCAAAGTGATGGCTAGTAACATAAGGCCCCTGTACCAATGAACTCGGTAAGAAATAAGTCGAAAGCTACTATGCGGGCTTATACTTGGTAATCATAAGCAAAATAAACGTTAACCTGCATAAAGTGACTTTGGGCAATGAATTGATTGGAAGAACTTATTTGAGGAATAACATCTGTTGTTGACAGAGGCGGTTCAAGGTCTCTTGCTGCATCGTTACACTCTTCAGCTTGCCCTGTAAAACATAATCCGTAAGTTAAACTGACAGCAATAATGTACCTGTTGATAAGACATGAGAGTAGTACACACCTTTATTCAGTTTATGTCTCTTATTCACCTGCAATCCAGCTTGCTGTCTGCGTCGTACAACTGCCTCTTTCCTCTTTTTGCAGTTAACCTTTAGGGCTTCACTGTTGTCATCAAGAGAAATTTGGATTTCAGCAGGATTTTGCGCCTGAACCTTCAAGGCATTGTTAAGAGGAGGTTTCTCGAGCAGTTTTGTCTGCAAAATTCGTTCCACTTGTTCAATGAGCTGATCTGACTGACCTGCCATTACTGTAAATGTATCCATATTTTCTGCTGCTCGTTCTGCAATTCTATATAATATTCGACACAAAGAGTTGTAACGCTTTGTCATGGTTGAATTTGGGTCCTCTTCAAGTACAAGCCCCTGATTGTCCCTTAAGCTTCCAGACTTCGCATCCTTCCTCCACCTCTTTAAAATAAACTGCTGTGGGAGCTCTTTGATATCCCTGAAATCAAGTACTTTAAGTACATGACAGCACTGAATCCCAACAAAAAAAAACTTTTTGCAGCTACATATGACTGTGCCATCCAACGAGTCAAATCTTACAAAGTGAGCTCTCGTTTTTCCCTTAAGAGTAACCTCATACTCAGAAAATGTGCCAATCTCACCACAGCTGCAAACAACACAATTCATGAACAATTCAAATTCACTTCTAAAGATCTCAAACATTGCAGGCGTATACATATTGGCAGCTTGCCAAAGCATCCGCAAATGAGGTATCCTTGGTATGCCTTGATTCGCATGATAATCAGCTTGCAGTTCTGCATAGCGTTTCTCCTCCAGAAGTTTTTCATATTGCCTAAAGAAATAAGATAGATCCGCTTCCTGGTTCAACCATTCTTTTAGAATGTCATTAAAGCATTCACTACGTAAAGTAGTTTGCAGGTCAGCACAAAATGTATCTCTGCTATAAGCTGGAGCCCATTTTTCTTTCTTCTCGTATATTTTTTTCAGCCATTCATTTTCTTTAAGATTGTATTTCTCAAGCATTATCGACCATGAAGCCATAAACTCCTCTTCCTCCTCAAAATCAAAGATGCATCTGCAGAAATCATGCACAAAGCTTTCTGAGGTTTGGAAGAATTCACCTAGATGTTTAAAAGCATGCTGGTATAGTTGCCAAGGGCAGAGTCGCTGACTGGTGCCTGGCCAAATAGCAGCTATTGCATCATCAATCTCTCTGCATTGATCCAGGAAGATGGTCTTTGGTTGCTTACCAGCCACTGCAGTCTGGAAAGTCTCAAATAACCACTTAAAAGTTTCTACTGTCTCGTCATATACAAATGCTGAACCAAATATAACAATTTGCTTGTGATGATTTACACCTATGAATAAAGCAAGAGGCCTATCACATACATTTGTTCTATAAGGCGTATGAAAACATACAACATCACCAAAGTAGTAGTAATCCATAATTGATCTGGCATCTGCCCAGAATACATTGGTCATTTTATCATCTTCATCAACCTGAATGGCATAGTAGAAAGATGGATTACATCCTTTCATCTTTTGCAAGTATTCCAATATAGTTCCTGCATCTCCCACCTTCATGCTCCTTATTCGCTTCCCCCGTACATAGTTCTTATAATGAGCAGGAATAAGATCAGCGTTTTGCTGATTTTTATGTTGAGCATTCGATAAAAGCTTCTGTGATTTCAACATCTGAATATTTAATGGTAACGCAAGCTGATGACTGTGGTCTGCTACAAATTCAGTCACACGGTACCTACCAAAAGAAGTAGCTTTGATGGCCTGTGAAGGAAGCTACAATCTAAAAACCATCTTACAAGAACAAACTATTCAACTAAAGAGGCAATATGCAAGAAGAGTCCTGCCAATTTCCCATGAAAATCATCAAGGAAATTCACCAGAAAACAGCATCATAGAGATAGCATGAACTGATGATTACTTGAGAGTATTCTTAGATTCTAAAAAAAAGAGCATCATAGAGATAGCATAAACTAATGATTACTTGAGAGTTTTCATAGATTCAGAAAACAACAAAAGCAACTTGAAAAAAAAAAATACACAAGTATTATATAAATAAATTGAAATGAGTGGATGAGGATAAAACGAGTATCATAGATACAACACTCCAAGATAAAAGCATTTATTTACAACGGTTTTAATATTTTTGTACTCTGACTTGAGATATTCATAACACACAATAGGCAGCTTTACAATTACTCGCTACCACCCTTTCTTACAAGCATAAATCCAAGCTACCAAAACAACACCTGCTATCCTAGAAACTAATAGAATAATAAGCATAGCTCAAACCTAACAAGAATGTCCATTATTTAATCTAAGAAATTAAGAGTTTATAACAGCCAGTTAGCTAGCTGCATTTGTATTTCTGATTTGATGAAAAAACCAAATAGCAGCATTTATTA